GCAGCCATAGTGCGCCAGAACGCTCACCACACACCAGCTATCAGTGGGGAGGAGAACAGAGTGATGAAGCCTAATAGATGGGGATTATTAGGAGGCCACTGGTAAAGGCAGGGGGAAATTTGACCAAGACACCACGGTAACTACCCTACTCTTTTCGAGAAACGCCCTGGGATTTTTAATGACCACAGAGAGTCCTCGGTCTTACGTCTCATCCCATAGTGTCCCCGTCACCATACTGGGCCATTAAACATACACAGACTGCAGGGTCGAGCGGCCCCTACTGGCTGCTCCAACACCACTTCCAGCAGCAACTTTAGCTTTCCCAGGAGTTCTCCCCTCCAGGTACTGGCCAGGCTCACAGCTGCTGAGCTTCAGTGGGCTGCCAGTTGTGAGTTCCAGGGTTATATAGCTGCTGGCTGCTTGTGCTCCATTGGATTCTTGCTGGATGCTCTTCTTTCCTCCCACCTTCCAAAAACGACAACACCTTCCAAAATTGGTGCCCTGTGATGGACTGATGTTCCTTTTGACATGTAGTCCCTCTTTCTGTGTTTCTCAGGGTAGGTTTCTGGATGTAGTTTTCTGATAACAGATTGGATAATGGATATCTCTTTCTACTACAGCTGCATAGGTTGCATAGATGAAAAATGCGAGGGCACGCTACATGGTAAGAATAGGACAATTTCGACGGTTGTGAATAATGCCCCTGCTTCCTTTAGGCTCTCTGACGTTGCACCACTGGCAGCAGCTGGCCCAGCCCCACCTGGCCACCATCCTGGATACTCGGCCTGGTGTGGTGACCAAAGGCTTCACACCCCTGCCCGAGGACGCTGTCTACCGCCTCTCGGACCTCGAGGAGGATGACGAGGACAACCCGCGGCCGAGAGCCGCGGAGGATGAGGAGGAAGGCGGGATCACTTTCCAGGTGCAGCGCTCCTCCACCCCAGAGGCCAGGAAGCCGGACCCTCCGGAGGAGAGCTCTCCTCCTCCCAGCGTCTTCCTGCCCCAGACTCAGATCCTTGGCACACCCGTGACCCCTGGTGAGCTCCCGTGCTGTCTCGCATCCTCACAAGACACGAATAAGCCACCTCCCCTTGTGCAATCCTTCGCATTTGGTTGTGCGGTTAAAATTCGTCATCTTCAGTTTCTTATTCATTCAGTGCCTTGTTTTCCATGGACAGCTCAACGCTAGAGAATAGCCAGAACACTTTTCTTTTCGTAATTTGGAAAAGAAGACAAACGGCTGAACTACATGCGGTAGAACGACACTTAGAAGACTTTCTTTGGAGCATTCAGGGTTTGAATAAGATCCTGGTTTTAAAATGTATGTGCATTTTGTAATTTCACCGAATCCGCCATTTTGTTGCATGACTGTGCGTTGGCTCCTGTTTGTTCAAAGATGTTGAAGATGCTAAGTTTGCATTCATCCGCGTGATTTCACAACACATTGATTGAAAGTGGCAGAACTGATATTTTCATAAAAATTCAAGGTGTTTGAAGGTTTTATAGGGCTTTGGACATTGTATTGCCTCACTTACACGGAAAGCACTGGGTTCCAGTTCGCTAGGTGTGGTTTTGCTGTCTGGAATTTCATGATTTAGCATTATTTTATTTACTTTCTCTTTCCAGTGGCTGCGTATGTGTATACTGTAGCTAATATTAACTGCATTTTACAGGGGTTTTTTACCTGCAAGGAAAAAACAAATACTGATAAGTCATATATTGAATTTGTAACAGTTTTCCTTTCTTATCCTGTCATTAACGGATAGCAAGAAATGAAACACTTCATTAATCTGTACGTCAAGTGTCTCATACATCCTCAGGAGCTGAGGCTGAAATCACATCTGCATCAGCTGGCCTCCTGTGATTTCCGTTTTGCGCAGTCATCAAAAGATATGGTAGCATCTCCTGATGCGTTAAAATGCAAGAATTTGTATAGGAATCGGATTTTAAGGATACCGCCATGTCATAATGACTTTCCTGTTTTCTGAAGCCCCCAACCCAGGGAAATGTCTGAGCTCCACCTTCTCCACTTACACCTTTACAACCTGTCGGATTCTCCACCCATCTGATGTCACTCAGGTCACACCAAGGTAACACTTCCTTTATACTTTCACAGCATTCAGGCCGTTTTCCTCTTCCTTAATAAAATGGTGGTAATTGCAAAGGGGATTGCTGTACAGTACATACTTCAATTTAGCAGTGCCTAAAATTGTGTTGGTGCTGTCCTATTTGTATTACTTTCCTGTTATTTACATCAGTGCTGCCATTTTCAAATCAGGATGTAATCTCTAGCATGCATCATGTTTAAAAAGGCAGTAGGTGGAGACAAGATGGCAGTGCTTGCTGGAACCATATTCCCCAGAAGACTGTGGGGACAGATCTGCCATCTTCAATCTCCTGACCAATTGGAGGAAGACAATTGGTCAGGTGACACTTAAAAACCGAGCAGCAGAGGCTTCAAATGGCTGTCAGCCTCTGCTCTCTGGGAACAGACCCGAGCCTCTGTTATGTGTTGTACTTGAGAGAGAAGGGGGAGAGGAATTGGCATATTTTGGGAGATTTTGTGCGGAACGTTCTTCATAAAGAGATTTTGGCAGCTGCCTGACCTCTTATCGGGAGGGTGAATCGAAGAAGTGTACCTGGAGCTTGGAGAGAGTTAAGGGTTTGTGTTTTCATAAGATAAGATCACTTTATTGGCCATATACAATTTTGTTGTATTAGGAATTCGTCTTTTTTCACATACCCTGACTTGCTCTCCATGAGACACACAGACAGGGAGAGAAGCTCGGGGTCAGAGCACAGGGTCAGCCATTTATACAGCGCCCCTGGAGCAGCTGGGGTGAAGGGCCTTGCTCAGGGCCCAACGGAGTAGGATTCCTCTGCCGGCCGCAGGATATAAACCGGCAACCTTCCAGCCACAGGCACAGATCCTTAGCCACAGAGCCACCTCTCCGCCCCATTTTATTGTGTAAAAGTTCTTACAAAGTGAACTTTGTAAAAGTTCAAGTTCTTTTTTTTACTATGTAGTTGTTATTGTGTTTCCCAACACCCACCTATAAAAAGAGGCACCTCAACCCAGGTGTATCACACATGTAAGTGTTCTCTACTTTATAAATGTCAGCTCTGGGCTACACCCAAAAGGGACCTAAACCGTTATCGGTTTAGGGACAACTTTTTTTTTTTTGTGATCTTCGGGTTACTGGAAAAGCCACCTCTGGGGCAGCCCATGACTAGTTTAAATCCCAGATGCATTTTGGGCCTGTTCTTGGCTGACCGAATAGCAAACCCGGCTTCACGCTGTGAAAATAAATACATTTCCATCAGTAGATGTTGTAAAAAAATGCTGTCTCTTGACAGTTTTCTTTTTTTTTTCTGCTTCTCTAGCTCTATGTATGTCCCTGTGCCCAATGGAGAAAACACTCCCAGCTCCCTGAGAACAGGACCCAGCACACCGGTCACCCCCTGCCGCCTCAGCTTGGGAGAGGCCTTCACCCACGGCCACAACGCCACCGTCACTCGTGGACTGGCCAAACTTCTGCAGGAGAAGGGTATCTCCGCCCAGGTGTACAGCAGCCCCGTCTCCGAGTCCCCCCCAGGCCAGAGTCCCCGAAAGACACGTTTCCCCCCCTCTACCCCTCCCAACTCTCCCTCCCGCTCCCCGGCTTCGTCCCCGGTGCCCTTTGAGACGCGCCCCGGCGCCGAAAACTTCCTGGCCTCGCGGCCCGCGGAGATCTTCCTCCAGGAGGTGTACGGCCTTAAACCCGGCCGAGTTCGGCCCGACCCGGCGCAGAACAGAGTCAACCTGGTGGAGCGCCTTAAGAGGCTGGGCTTTGCCAAGGTGCTCAGGGGGGACGCGGAGGGGGGACTCCGGCGGCAGGAGTCGGCCCACTTCGTCACGGCCGGCGGCGGTAGCCTCCTAGACGGGCTGAGGAGGAATCAGAGCCTTCCAGCTATGATCGGGGGATTGGGTCCCCCAGCAAGCGGCACCCCCTCCCATCCAGCCTCCCTCCCGATTCCACCAGTGCGGAGCCTGAAGGAAAAGCGTAGCGCGGAGGTGAAGCCGCCGTCCATACGGGCCTCACAGGACACCCCGGAGCCCCTGAGGACTGAACAGAAACTGTAAAACGCCGGAAAACAGAAGGGAAAGTGGTAAAGGAAAAGATGGTGGGCGTTAAAAACTTGGATTGACGCTTGATATGTCTACCTCTCTCCTTTTCCAGCCACCACCAAAAACTGTCAGTCTATGAATTTGAGCCAGAAAATAGCACAGCATTCGCCCGTGGTTTCATATCTGAGCAAAAAAGCTAGTAACCTTTTTTGGAATTGGAAACTGAAAAAGTACCAAATGCTTTCTGAAAGCAAGGGTTAAATACAAGCTGGTACTTGGTGTGGGGGCTGGGGCTGTGACGGTCCTTGTGAAAGTGATGTGGGTTTTTTTTTTATCAGAGTTGTCTGCAGTGCGCGCTGAGAGATGTACTCTGTTGCTGTTGAGGGTGTGAGGAAGTCGCAGAGGGTGAGAGAGAGACGGAAAGAGGGTTTTAAGGTGAAGAGAATGAGATGGGGAGCAGGCTGGATGAGTATGAAGGGTGTAGAGGGAACTAAGATGAGGTTTTTGTGTCGAGAGGAACAGAGCACAGCCCCCACTTCATAAACAGCCAGTTGGAGCTGTTTTGCAACAGCAATGCACTATTGTTACCTGCATAAGCCACTGTTATTTTGGCAGTCTCTTATGCAGCTGTATCATATAACCATAGTATTGGCAGAAAACACTAGAGCAGAGCAGTAAAATGAATTTAATTAACAAAGCACACTTCTGGCAAAAACGTTTCTGACTGTTAGATTTTTGCTTCTTCAAGTTTTAAGCTCAGGGCTCCAAAAGACTACAAAGCTTCCTTATTTTATTATTTTACTATTATTTTGAACTGCAAAATCGTATTTTGCCTCTTTTGTTTTGCTTAGAAATGTTTTTTTTTTTAATAAAACCAAATCTGTTTATTGTCAAGCAGTTTGAGGGCAATCACAAATTTACTCAAATGACGTACAGTAAGAGAGAGTTACTTGGATAGCGGGCAGTGAGTAGTTAAAGATGCCAGTATTTTCTTTTAGATGTCCCATAGGAAGCTGAAACTTTTAGGTGAAGTGGACAGCAAAGGGCCTAGCAGTGTTAACCTTCAAAACTGAATGTATGGAAGAGATTCTGTTTTCTTCTTAGGTTTTGACATTCATGCAGGGGTTGCCGTTTTGTACAGTTTAAGAAAATGGAAAAGCTTTTCTGTGCTCATTTATCTAGAGGAAAGATTCAGTACCTTGGATTGTTTTTTTTTTTCCTTTGTGCAATAACGTGGAGCCCATTTATTTACTGGTGTTCTACGACAGCAGACTCATAGTCCTCTGGCATTCCGATAACATGATTGTAATGCTGATATGATGCATTTACCGTGCACAATGGGCAGATTTCTTAAAACTGCAGTGATGTCTGTTTTGCCTTTAATCCTTGCCACCCTTGGTCACAGCCGGGAGGCTTGATACTCCTGGCAGTTATTTGCAAAAGGTTCTTGATTTGGGACCCAAGGGTTCCTGGCGTTATGAGCTTTACGATGGGAAGATGACTCTTGAGAGTTAAATGGACAGATACATAGTGGTGGATTGTTTTTTTCTGTCAAGAAAGGTTTAAAGTCACGGACAAAGCATGACATTTTATACTTATAGTGGTTATCATATGTACAGTATAGTTATACAGTATATTTGACATGGCGTGGTTATACTGTATAAGGGGTCATTTTTTGCAATGTTACAGCAGCTTATATCATTGCTTCTGTTTTAGTACGGTGTCTAGATAGTCGCTTCTGTCCTGTTTCTAACAGGAGCTCAGTGATGCAGTAGTCCTAGAACTTTTAGCTTTCTGTTTATTGACATGGGAAAAAGAAGCCATACTGTATGTGCGCTTTATATCTGACGTTATGACTCTGTTTCAGCCCTTTGGAGAGAGCTTGAGATCACGTGTACTAGACACTTATTCAATCCCTCAGCTCTGACTTTGCCACTAAGACCACAATCTTATCTCGCTGGTTCTGTAGTATTTTAAAGGGTAAATGACGCTGAGCTAAGTGATGTTTTCTTGAGTGTAAGTAGTGTGTGGAGCAGGTTTGTGCTGTGAATCCTGCACTCAGAAGGTAAAAATATACCAGTTCTTCAGATGACCACTTCTCTTGTGATCTTGTGGTGGCTTTAGGCTAGTTGTGCATGAAAGGCAAAACATTCTCTTTGCTTAGACTGAAGATTTTCAGCATTGGTAAATGTCAGTGTGCAGAAATGTTTAGTTTTGCTAGTTTTGTTTCTAATCGAGGCAGCTAAGGGCGACAGAGAGGTCTTTTTCAAAGAGCTAGCCATTGGCAAACTGGCCTGTTTTTCTTCCTTTGTTTAGTTCAATAATTTTAATTCTGTGGCAAGAAGGCAAGCTCCTGAGCAGCTTTGAAGTGCAATTTTCACATTTTCTAGCTGAAGTGTCAATGTTTTAAAGTATGGAAAAGCTTGAAATAAGCCAGTCCAAGAGCTACAGTACAAATCCAACCAAAAAACGTTCAAACAATAAAGTTAAAAGTGTGTCCTAACATTTGATTTTTGTGTTACAATGTGTACATTAACATTAAAGAGACTTTTTCCCCTTGTAATACACAGTTTATATCAATTATGCCACAAAGCCCATAGAAAACTTTTAAATAAGTAAATGCAAGCTTAAAATACTGGAAAGCGGAAGAAGGCGTCATCTTTATGATGAATAATTCACTACAATGTGGTTTCAGTGTCTACCTTATTTGTGATCAGTTTTGTGTTTTTCCATGATACTCTGACATATAGAGAGTGGCGATTCTATCGAAACCCTTTCCTTGCTGAAAAAGAATTGAATTTAAGTTCCTGAAATTCAAGTGTATCTTTGTGCTCACTGTATAATTGCTTTTTTGACTAACTCCTGCGCAGTGTACAGAAAACGCAGAAATGAAATAGGAGCAACTTAAAACTTAGTTGGCTGTACTGTATGTAGCAGGCAACCATCAGACTTTATGCATAGCTGGTTTCTAGAAAGCACTACATTCTGTTACTGATCATTTTATTTCTTGAGTACAGTATATGAAAATTTAATTATAGATGGCTTACTAAGATTATAGATTAGACATTGATGCATTTTATGTCTGTGTGTAATGTCTTCTTGGGATGATCTAAAATAAGAGAAAAAAACATTTGTCACTGATATTTCTTGTGACTTACCACAATTTCCTTTTATTAACCTAAAGGTATTTATATTGTTTAAGATATTGTTTGCACTTTTTTCTAAGTGTGCAATCAGTTTAATGAGAAATGGGAAATTGTGCTTTGCACCTTATTGAAGGATATTATAGATTGATCCTGATTGTTAGTATCATTTTGCAGTGTTAGGAATTGAACTAAAAGTGCTGTCAAACAAGTCTTCAATTTATTTTTATTGCAGGGCTTCAAAAGCTTGTGACATTTTTCCAATTCTTTAGGCTGTCCTTTGCCCTTCCAGTACAGTACTGTATGAACTAATTGCACATTAATGTGGTTCTGAACAAAAGTAATTATGTCATTTTAAAGGCCTGTAATAAATCAGAAATTTAAATAATTTCCTGACCAAATTTTGGCTACAGTTAAATGAATAAAATTTAGCTTTAGAAATTAGCCCAAGTTAGGTTGTGGAGAAGCAAAGTAATTTAAACTGGATTAGAAAAGATTGGTCCAATAAATGTAGCCTTTATGCTCAAAGTGGCATACCAAATTATTACAGAACGCCAGCATGCCACAATATGGCTACTGTTGATCTTAGATCATTCCAGGCTTGTTTATTTTCATTTCCAGCACTTTTACAAATTGTATCTTGTATCAACATTATACATTAGAAAAATAACACTGTATCATTGGTTTCTTTGTCTTTTTAACGAGAAATGTAAAGAATATATTCCATTTAGCCACAGCTATGTAACAAGCGTTCTGTTTCATAACCAAGAAGTCAGAAATTATCACAAAATGAAATCTCAATTAATTTTTGAGTGGAAATGCAATGTTCTTAGTGTTCATGCAGTATTAATATTGTTTGAGTCTTATAAGCTAGAGCTGTAGACTGTGCATGTATACTCTTTCAGACTGTCTGTTATCAAACTCTGATAGCATTCAAACCAGCCTTCATGAAGCATGTTAAAAACTTAAAAGCCTAAATTCAGACACCAAGGCTCAGCGAGTCTAGGCCTTTGTGATTTCTTGGTAGTACTCCAGATGATGACAGTTGGTGCCACTTTTTACTTTTGTAAAGGAAAAATGGAAAATCAAGTGCCTCAGTTTGTTCAAATAATTTTAACAAGTCAGGAGTGACCACAGTAAACAAGTAGTTACTACACACAAGAGTTGTCATGGCAACCATAAGTAAGTAAAAGTAAAACTTCTTTCTGCCATGTCATTTTAACATTGAGGTATTTGACCCTCTCTGTCCCAGTATGGGTATGAACTGGATTACGCTTTATCTGTATTCCTAATTATTTGTGGGATATTGGGATAAGAAATCCAGTGTAATTATCAGTTTGTGGCAAGATGACAAAAAATTTAAATCAAAATACCAGTTTGAATAACTATGATAGCACCCACACAACTGTCAGAATCATATCATTTACTTGTTTTCTTAATTAGTCCATTACAAAAGGAAAAATCTTTTTAAGAGATGACACTCGATTCGGGAGAACTGGGAGGTCAGAGGGTTACAACATAGGTTTGGGTACTGTGGGGGGGTTCAGTTTTTGTAAATATACAGCCTGAATGATATGTAACTTTCCCTCCGGACAAACCTGTGCAATATTTTAAAATAAAAATTATTAATAAAACTGACTTCTACATTTTATTTTACGCTTTATTTTGAAATCAAAAGTTTGATGGTATCTTACTAAAATGGTTGTACTTTATGTAAGCATTATACAATTAACGTCATTATAGTAATATTTTGTTTTCCTTTTTTTTTCTAGGAAGTAGTAGACCAATGATAAAATGGGAATATTCAGACATCCTTTGAAACAAATATATTTTTAATATAAATCAGTCACTTGGCTTCAAAAGAAGGCCACTTCAAAAACATGAAACATTAAGTTTAGTAGACTCTTTCTGGAGGAAGGTCAATGTGTAAAGTCCATCTTTTAGAAGCATTGAGGAAGGAGCTGCTACAAACACAGCTGTTTGGATTTAGATCAAATTTAAAATGCTTCATAAAATAAAGCATCTTGCAAATCAAATTTAAATATAAGTTGGAATTGGATTGATTCAATTGCATTAAAAAACTAAACACAGCACTATACCAAAAATTTTTTCTAATACAATATCTAGTCGGTTGGTATTGTGATTGTTGAGATTGAGTCTTTAGAAACATGTATGTAGTGTAGTAATATGTGAGTAACTGGAATGTTATTGTCCAGTGTGAGGTGCTGTTGTAGGCCGGGGACCAGCAGTCTGTCTGTTTTGTGAGGCCTGACTTTCTCGCTGCTGTATAGCAGACAGGAGTTTCTCCTTCACCCTCCGCAACCTTGCTGTGTCCTCTTTTTCAGTCTTCGCCCTCTCCTCATACAGCTCTTCACATTTGGAGAAAAATCTGCGCCTGTCAAAGTAGAATATGGTGAATGTATTTAACATTACACATAAAAAAAGCTTGTGGTTTGAAAAAAAACATTTTGACACTTGTCATTGATTAGCATTTTCAACAGTGAAGTCACCCTGAACAGTTCTAACCTGAGGTCGGTATTCTCATTCATTAGCGCGTGGAGACGGTTCCTGTGTCTGTTGTCCACAGCCGAAATCTTTTGGTTGAGGCTCTTCTCCAACTCGGCCAGTTTTCCTTTCTGCGAAGATGTCGGAAGCATTGAATTTATTTGTCTACCAGGCCTGTCTGCTAAGCGTGAGGCTAAATCTTTGATTCGTTTTGCAACAGGGTGAGTCTTGCAGGACATCGTAGTTGACTGAAACGAAGTTACATTTACTCAGTCTGTCAAAAGACTGTTATAAGGGCTTGCGAGTTCCTTTAGAACAATCAAGGCATCGATGCTGCATAAAATTTCCAACTTTGAGAAGCCGTAAGAAGGTAACAACCGTATTCACTGAAAATGATCAAGAAAAAAGCAGATGCATTTTTAGGAGCCCTTCATTTCTTACTTGAATCAGCAGTTCCTGCTGTGTCTGTTTAAGAACCGCATTCAACTTGGTGATTAAGGCCTTGTTCTCTGCAGCCTCCGATGTCAGGGCCTGTTCAACTGAACAAATGCAGAGTTATTTTGAAGTAGGTATGGAAACAAATAGACAGTCGCGATATTTGCTGGGTTTTTTTCAGGTTTCAAAATATACCAACATATTTTCATGAGCGACTCATGACTGATATTCCCCATTTTGACAATGTCGCATCAAACCATCAATTTTCTAACCGCTTCTTGCAATTCAGAATCGCTGGGTACCTGGAGCCAATCCCAGGCAAGCAGTGGGCACAAGACAGGGTATACCTGCCTTGATGAATGAGACACCAGGCTCTTGCAGGGCACACACACAGACATAGATAAACACACTCACACCAGGGTCAGTTTTTCCCAGAAGCCAATTAACCTACTGTATGTTTTTGGACTGTGGGAGGAAACCCATTAAAAAATGTGGGGAGAACATACGAACTCCATGCCGATAGTGCCCCAGGTCAGGAATTCCACCCAGTGCCCCAGTACAGCGAGGCACCAATGCTAACCACTGCCACTGTACTGCCCAGAATATCACGTAAAAATGATAATTAGTCATTCTACCACGGCTAGCATGAGTTGAATGATCGTATTCTCACATTGAAACATTTCCTTTCTGGTCATAATATTAGCTCAAGTGTCATATTTGGGCAGGACATCTTTTTTTTTTCCCCACAATTAAAATTTGTGAGCAATTCAGCAAGGTCCAAGAAAAGTCATTTTAATGTTCTTTTTAGTTCCGAATTAAGTTGGTTATTCAGTTAAAAGTAAAACTGGTATCAGTCCATTTGATGATAAAAATTAACTTCTATTTTTAACTATTAACTTTTTTTTTTCCTTGTCAGGTTAAGAACGGGTGAGACAAAGGACATTACTGTGTAAGGAAAATGGATCTACAATGAAACAAGTAAATGAAAATTTGTGTCACAGCTAACAAATAATCTGGCCCTGTACTTGAACTGTATGTACCGATAAGAAAAATACTCAACAAAAATACTTATCAATGGAAAGAACGGAAGGCAAACTAAGAAGCATTAAGAAGATGGCAGTTTTGATGTATAACGACTGAAGGACAGAGGTTGGAATGGGTCATCTAATTTCACAAATAACATGATAAATTAAATTTTCATGTCAGTCAATTAAAAATTCCAGGAAATACTAATCGGGTTTTCAAGAGCAAAACAAATGGATTAACATTCATTTATTTTTTTAAATCCTGATTTAGCACGGTCAGATCTAAGGTGGCACAGCGGTAACCAGGGTGGTAGTGTGGCTGTTCCTATGTGGACAAGACGTGAAGTTACGTGAAGAGAAGTACATGATTGTTTTGTGTTTAAAGCCGATGATTTCGCACTCTTGGTGACCGATTTGAACAAATGAATATGTTCAGATACAGTAACTTGTGGCGACTCTTTTAATGTCTTTATTCATACTGATGACTACCATAGAATACAGTTAAGTACACAAATTGTCTTTCAAATAATGCATTTTCAACTAAAAGTTTTTTAAAATGTGGACTGGAGTGAAGTTTTCTGGACTCCTTTCCCTCTAACAAGTGATAGAGTGAAGGTATTATTAAAATTGAAATGCGCCAGAACCAGCTGAAATGCCCTTTAACAGTATTTACATGGGGGGAGCTGAGCTTGGTTTTGAATTAAAGAGATTCTGGCACAAAAGCTTCTCTGCCTCTACCTGAGGGTTGATCGTGAGATTACTGAGAGAATGAACAGGGCTTCCAGGAGTCAACCACTCCTGCCCCAGAGTGCCTCCTTACCAAATATCCAGTGCACTACACTATCCTCGATTAAACTTGCACTTATTCTTTATTTTTACTTGTTGTAATGCAGATATACCCTGCTCAGGAACCTAAAATTGTATTTGGTTCTGAAGTTGCTTTAAAAAAGGAAAAAGCTTAAGCAGACACAGTACCGTTATTTCTTCTCTAGCTTTGTCCAGTAATTTTCCCTCCTCTACCGCCTTTCCGTATTGCTTGTGTAGTTCCTGAAAAAAAAATTGAACAAGTAAACAAGCGCTGTGTTTTGGAGACCTCCGTGTTTCTGTGCATCTGATGCTGTGAGTATGGAAAAAAACGACTCCAGGCCGAAGAAGCTGAAGCACCCTGCCAATTTACTGGTTTTAAAAAAATACCTTAGCAGGATTACACCCAATTGCCTTAGGGTACAGCTTTTAATGAATGATGCAGAATGTCTTTAATTCCAGCAGCCATATCACCCTGCAACTCACAACTGGCAGCCCATTGAAGCTGGTGCTTGGTACCTGGATGGGAGACATCCTGGGAATGCTGCTGGAAGAGTTGTAAGTGAGACCAGTAAAAAATGGTGCCATCCTTCAGATGAAGTGTAAAGCTAAGGTTCTGACTGTCTGTGGTCATTAAAAATCCAAGAGTGTTTCTCGAAAAGAGTAGGGTTGTAGCCCTGGGATCCTGGCCAAATTCCCCACTGGCCTTTACCAATCATGGCCTCCTAATAGTCCCCATCTATGAACTGGCTTCATCACTCTGTTCTCCTCCCCACTGATAGCTGGTGTGTGGGGAGGGTACTGGTGCACTATGGCTGCCGTCGCATCATCCAGGTGATGCTGCACATTGGTGGTGGTAGTGGGATTCCCCATTACCTGTAAGGCACTTTGAGTGGAGTGTCCAGAAAACGCTATATACTGTACTCTAAGTGTAGGCAAAAAATTTAACGGGATAAGATTCCACCTACCTCAGTCTCCTTGTGGTGGCTTCTGCTGAGCGCAGAGATCTGACCTTCAAAGGCTTGCCTCATCTCATCCTTCTCTTGCTGAAACTGCCCCATCAGCTCTTGTTCTGCCAAGCGGAGGCACACAGACACAGACCAGATGAAAACACTATGAGCGCTGTCCTTTTATAGTCCACTTTTTTCTTTCTTAAAGTTTGTGCAGCTCTCTGATGCCCCAAAGAAGTTCTTTTCCCAAAATTAATTTATGTCCATCTTTATATGGCAACATCCTTGGAAACGACAGAAGAGTACATCTTTTACTCAAATAATAGCTATTTTCTTTGTCTTGATCGCTGTTACTAGCCAAGCAATCTATACTACATTTCTTGCAGCTACCAAATGAATCAGTATCTAAGCCGCTGTTGGCACTTTTATAACTAATAATGTAATTCATTCAGTATTGTGTTTGCAGTGCTGCTACCACACATCTTACTTTGCTTAAGAAGCTCATTTTGTTGCTTCTTCTCACTTTGAAGCCTCCAGTCAATCTCTTTTTTGTTCCATCTTAACTCCATTTCCTCAGATAAATTGTCCTGTGGACATTAAAGGGGTGATGTTTATTTTTTTCACAAGTGAAATAACACTGCACAATACCATCCATGAATGAATCCATGATTAGAAACCCATTGACAGAGAGCACCTGTGTACGGGTGTAAGTAGTTCAAGAAGGCTTCACAGCCGAAAAGTTGTGTTTCTTTTGTCAGCCTGGAATAAACTTTTACTTGCTCCTTTGCAGTGTGTGGGTGTAGTAATGTTAGCAAATAGAAGTGCCATGGGACAAAATAATGGAAACACCTTGATCAATTAGGGTCACTGAGTCCAGTATATTGAAAGCAAACGCCTGGTTGCCCATAATAATATACATGTAGAGGAGACCTTAGTGACTAAGAAAGAGTGGTGAATGTTGGGCCCAGTTTGGCAGAAGATTCAGTGATCAAAGCAGCCCAACTTACTGATATTTTGTGTGCAACACTGTCTAAGGTGGAAAGACATTAATAGCAACGGACATTAGTGGTAGTTCAAGGCCCTAAGTGACTTTAGACTGGTGTTTTTTGTCCACTCCTTGCTAGTATAAAGATGTTTTAATAAAAAAGAGATCAGACTGAATTCTGATGGAGGCCGTCTTTTAATATGTCTTTATACATGTGTAATTGAATGATCTTAGCTTTAGTCTACAGCCTGAAAATACACATTTTCTGTTTAACGTAATTCAGGTGGGTAGCAGCGTCAGCATGCGTAGTCTGCAAAGGAACAAGTAATAGGTTTATTCCATTACCTTCCACACCTGAAGAAGGCTCCACGGACGAAACATTGTGTTCTCTTCTTTTTTTCAGCATGGAATAAACCTATTACTTGTTCCTTTTCTGTTTAACGTCTACTGTAGCTTCACAACAGCTTCACAACGTTTGTTGAACAAAGTGACCTTTTTGTAAGATAACAATCTCTTTATTTGTATCAGAAAGCATTCTGGGTACTAATCAGAAGCAAAGACAGGAGAAAAGTATACACCTTGATTTCTGACAGTAATAAGAGTATAAGATATGTTTTGCATTGCCTTATCTACTCTAAAAGCTCTATGCCCTGGCAAATACCAAGAGACAAGACAATACAGACAAATCTGTTAGCTGATGCACATTTTCCAAGACAAGCCAATATTGACAAAAATGTATTAGCTGACGATATATAAATTCAGGTATTTTACCTTGTAGGCACGAAAGGAACTTTTCATCAGCTCATGTTCTTTTTCTAGCTTGCCTGGAAAGAAAATCATATCAATTTAAGGTACTAAATTAGAGCACTGTTTGAATAAAGAAGTGACACTATGCTGATCATCATAATAGGCTGTTCTCCTTGCTCTGGGTTATTATGAAAATGACGGGGTGTCCAGGCAAGAAATAATAAACTGGACATGTAACATTATAGATGTCATTTTGTAGAAACATATTCAGTTACATAGTGAAATAAGACATTTTCATTTTTTTAATTCAATTTTAAATACTAATTGATATAGGGCATGTAGCATGAACAGCCTCCTATTGGACTCCCAGTGGATGGAAGTTTCCGGAAGGGAGCCCTGGATAGGCTGACTAATCCATATACATAAAATATCATTTCAAAAACAAGTTTGAAAAGGTCAGATGTGTTTTCCAACATTTTTCCAGTAGGTGGAAGCAAAATATGATCCTTTGGTACCTGATTAGTACAAGTAGTACACCTATTTTATAAGACTCATGACACACAAAACGTTTGAAGATGACATTTTTCTATTTCAATGATGACTGGACAAAATCGAATTGAAGCTTATAAGACCACAGGAAACGTCTTCTCTTGGAAACAAACCTGGTTGGCCTCTTGCATCAAATCTAGTTTAAGGCTTTCATTGAAAAACTGTTGAGGATCCCATCCCATCGCCACTGATTCGTATTTTCGTATTGTATTAAATTAAATCTTTGTTTTATGTATTAAGATGATGTCCAGTTTATTTCCTTTATCCCATTCTGGATTTCAATTTTTAATCATCCAAAGCATTGAAGAAGCCCTGAAGAGCGCATATTCGTTCCTTATG